AGGCATAGGAAAGGGGATAAGGAGGGGTACTGGGGCAGGCATAGGGAAAGGGACTGGGACATGGGAGGGGATAGGGAGGGGAACTGGGATAGGGAAACGAACAAGGAAGGGAAGGGGATAGAAGAGTACAAGGAAGGGGGACGGATTGGGAAGGGGATAGGGACAGGGACAGGGACATGGACGGGCACAGGAGGAGCGATAGGGATAGGGATGAGGATAGGGACAGATTGGGAAGAGGTTAAGGACAGGAATAGGGGAGGAAATGGGGATGGGAACTGTGATAGGGAAAAAGACAGGGAAGGGAACAGGGACATAGAAGGACAGGGATAGGGAAGGGGTTGGGAATGGGAACTGGCATAGGGAAGGCAAGAGAAGAGGATGGGGAAGAGGATGAGGACACAAGCAGGAGCAGGGGCAAGGACAGGGAGTCACTCTTCTCCTGCCATGTGCCACTCGCCCTGGAGTTTACTGTAGAACTGGTTTGTCTCTGCTCTGTTTGCTCCCACTACCTGCACACGGGAGCTTTCCCCTCCCAGTGCAGGGAGGGAGTCAGCCTGGATAAACCCAGCCCTGGTGCCTGGGCTGGGCTGTCTGTGCTGTCTGAGGGGCTGTGCTGCTATCAGGCATCACCTCACACAGACTCAAGCCAGGTTTGGCAGTGCCCTCAGTGACTGCTGCCCAGGCAGGGGCAGGGAGTGTGGTACTGGGAGTGACTGGAGTGTGCTCCTCTCCAAACACACCTGTGCTCAGCTTCAGCCCTGACCAACTGTTCCCACCCCAAGGGCACAGGAGCTGCTTTGTGTCTCCTCCTAAAGGCATGAAACCTTTCAGTTCCCAGGTCTGGCAGATGTGTCCATATCCCAGGACATCCCAGTGGAAGGGGAGATCACTGTTCCCGTGGGATCTCGCTCTCCTGATGAGGATTACTCCACGCTGGATGAGCCAGTCAGGGACACCATTGTGAGTCTGGGCCCTTGGCTGGGGCGAAGCTTGAGTGTTCTGGGGTCTATGGTGCAACACCTGTGGGTCTGCATAGCTCTGTGTGACCTGGTCTTCATTGTGGGTCTGGGATTGGTTTAGAACTCACGTGAAGTGAATTCTTGCGGGTCAGAGAGTGTCTGGATTGTGGCCCCAGAGTTTCTCTGTGAGCTCTGAAAGGGCAGAGGCCTCAGAGGGAGCCTGAGGGAAAGCTCTCCTGAGCGATGGGATGTTTCATTTCTGTTCTTTTCCTAGAGAAACTTAGGAAAAGCTTAGCTTCTTTCTAAAGAAGTTGTTCTTGTCCTGGTGTTGTTAAAGGACACAGCGTTGTGGGTGTTGAGGAAAAGGACAGGATGTTGTGGTTGTTAGGCATGCAGGATGAGTAGGCATTGCCTTTTGCAGAGGATGACAGAACTCCTTGGGTTGGATCCTCTCCTGACTCACCACACATGCTCCTTTCCCTGTGTCTCTGCTTCAGCTGTGAACTTTGATTTTTGTGATCTTAAAACTAAAGTGTTTTGTGTCTGTTTCAGATGAGAGACCTGAAGGCTGTTGGGAAGAAGTTTGTCCATGTGATGTACCCCAGGAAGAGCAGTGCACTCCTCAGGGACTGTATGTACCAGAGCTCCTCCTGACCCTCTGAGGGTGTTGTGCCCCAGGCTCAGCCTGTGGGGGGAAGGAAGGGTCCACAGGGACAGGGATTCAGCAGGTGTGACAGTCAGTGTGTGCCTGGCCAGGATGGGTACAGCTGGGATTTCTGGCAGCTGCTGGGTTTGAATATGGAATATGGTGTAAGATGCTGAATCAGAAAATGGGAAGGCAATGGGATATGGGAAATGGCACCTGGGAGTGGGAAAGGAGCTCTGTCACCCCCTGTGAAGATCCCACTGAGATGGTTGTGTGATGTTTTGTTTCCTCTCCCTACAGGGGATCTGTGGGGCCCCTTGGTGCTGTGTGTCTCCCTGGCTTTGTGAGTATTCCAGGGGGTTAGGGGGTTGTTGTCTTGTACATTGGGAAATGATAAGTTAAAAGTTGCTGATTAATGTGTTGGGATGAATCTCATGTGAGCCCTCTCTGTTTGGGCAGCACTGCTGAGTCATACAGATTGTGTTTGTGGCACCTGAAGCCCATTAGGATCTCCTGTCCTTAATGTGGGATTTCAGGGGCAGCTCCTCCTGGTCTCCTGTCCTGGGAACAGATTTGCTGCAGGTGTTCTAGGCCCCTAATCCTGATTTGGCTGTGGCAGAGCTTTAGCAGGAGAGGTGTGATTAATGTTCCAGCCCATGCCTGCTCACTGCCCCAGGCTCTTTGCTCCCTGTGCCCCAGAGTTGTTTCCAGCTTGATGTCAGGCTCCTGTGTCCCATCACACCCTGCTCTGTGCTCCGAGAGGTACCAAAGCTGTGGTGCTGCATTTCCATTGCTTAGCCTGTTCCCTGTGCGTTTATTCCCCTCTAAGTCCTTGCACAGTCCTGGAAACAGGGAAACAAATAGGCTGAAATCTCCTCAACTGAGCCACAACTGGTTTCCTTCCCTGTGGAAAACCGGGGATCCAGCTGAAAACAAGGAAATGGATGGAAAATGATGAGTCTGCAGCATAACTGGGGATCAGTGCTCCTGTTACACCATCTGCTCCAGTCTGGGACAGCTCAGGGACTGCCAGTGCCTCCATCTGTGTGTTCCTCACACCCCGTGACTTGTGTCTGTCCCCACCCCAGAGGATCTATGTGTGTCTGTCCCCACCCCAGAGGATCTATGTGTGTCTGTCCCCAGCCCAAAGGATCTCTGTGTGTCTGTCCCCCCAGGATGCTGCAGGGTGGCTCTGCAGACAGCAAGGACGATGGAGGGCCCCAGTTTGCAGAGGTCTTTGTCATCATCTGGTTCGGTGCTGTCGTCATCACACTCAACTCGAAGCTTCTGGGAGGAACCATGTGAGTGTGGGTTTGTGTCCATAGAATCATCAGGGTTGGAGGAGACCTCTAAGATCATCAAGTCCAACCATTAACCTGTCACTGCTGGAACCCCTAAACCAGATCCTCCAGCACCAG